GCCTTGTCCCCTAGCACGTCACCCTGCCTGCCCTCTCGTACACTGGGGTGATGCACCCTTCGCAGAGGTTCAGCTGGTTCGGACCGGCATTTTGGCAGTCTCCTCCTGTTCTTTCTCAGAGATTCCACATGCACATTAATTTCATCCGACTGCCGAACCCTACACCCTTTAACTCCCAGCTAGAACACCAGGAACAACCTAATGTAAACACATCTGAAAGAAGATGGTGACATCCCTTACGGGTTCGCCCTTTCAAACTCACTCACATGCACGTCAGAGGTAAGCCAGGTCATTTCCACCATGTATTATTCTCTGTGTGATACCGAGAAAATTCGGAGTTGTACAAAGCAGCAGTGGAATGTAATTAAAGAAGGTCCCATTTGTCCTGTGAGTGAGGAGAAGAAGAACGCTGCTGGCCAGAATCCCGAGTAGGGTGACACCTGTCCACCAACTGAGGCACTTCCAACTGCCACCCTGACAGGCAGAGAAGCATTTCCTTTGCAGCAGAAGCCTTGTGAAGCATTGCCTTGTGCGTTTGTACTGACTCAGAACTCCGGAGAAGGCGGCAACTCTTACTGTTTTTAAAGAATAAGGTATTTTATTATGGATGTTCATCTTCGTAACAATGTGTGCAGATAATAAGTGACAATCGTTAAAAAAAAGTCGTTTGATGAAAACAAAAGGATGACTATTTACATTAACTTTCTATCACAACAATGAAATACCTGAAACAGTTGAGGCAGGAAATATTCTTTTCATGTCTTGAGAGATTATTGAACAAGAACTTGACATTGTATTGACCCGCACCAACAGGGGTTCAAGATGTTCAGCTATCCCTGACCAAGCTGTACGCTGCAGGAGGTCAAAAAACGTTGGCTACACACTTATGTGAACCATGTCTCTCTGTTGTTTTAGCTCATAAAATTGATCTCTTACAGGGAACTTTAGGAAAAATGCTTCAGGATGAAAAAAACTCCCGCGCCCTCTACAATACGATGTTGTGATACCTGAAGCAGTGATTTTATCCAGAACGATCTCAAACGTTTGTTATCATTTAACCTATCGCAGGACATCTAAACAGAAATTACCAGTGACAAAAACAACCCTAGCATCAGGTCTATGAATTACTGCATGTATACAAGAGGTATTTGCCAACGAGTGTATGTATACAGTAAGAAAAATACCGTAACATTTACATCTAATTTACAAATATTCCAACGTTACAGAAATGATGCTGTTGGCTTTATGTAGGAAAAGCTAGTTACAGAGGCTGGAAAATGAACAGCAATACATAATTGAGCCCTTGTTAAAGGTATTCATCAAAAAACAGAGACACTCTTGTTTGCACCTGTCCCCTACACTATCTATTTTTTTTCCTCTCTCTGCTTCTACTTCTACTGCGCCTGCTCCCTTCTCCGCGTTCCACTTTACTGCACTTGTCCCCACAGCGCTCTCTACATTTTTTCTTCTCTCTGTGAACATCTGTGCTGGGGCTTCTGGTTTCCCTTTTCCTGTGCCGCCCTCTGCCAGGGCTCTGACTCGGGCTTTTTCGTGTCTGCCTTTGCCCAGAACTGCTGTGGCTCGTGCCAGGGCTCCTCCTGCTCCCCTCATCCCTGCTTTGGCTTCTACTGTCCCTCTCCTTTCGTTCAGTCTCTCTCCGGCTGGCGCTGTGGTACCTGCTTTTGGACTTCCTTTCCCCCTCAGAGGAGCCCCATTTGTTGTTCTCCACAGAACTATCTTCCTTTAAAAGCCTGTGCTTCTCCCGCTCTCTGTCCTTGTTACCGTGACTACCGGAGTGCTCTTGGTGAAGTTTTTCCTTCGTCTTTGCGCTCCCTTCTGAATCGCTGCTGCTGCTAGCCTCCGAAAACTTGTCTTTTTTTCTTTTCTTGGAATACATCTTCTTTTGTGCTGCTCTGTCTCTGCTGTCAGTCTCGCTATCGCTGCTGCTCACTGAAGTCTCGCTGGAGGACGAGGACGAGCATCTCGTCTTATGTTTCTTGTGTTTACTTTTGCTTTTTTTCTTTTGCTGCTTTTTCTTCTTCTTGTCTTTCTTTTTCTTTTTCTTCTCCAGTCGATCCAACTTCCTTTTGTTGTCAAAACAGAAGAGTAGCGCAATCAGATGTGTTAAGATATTCTGAATTTCAAAGTCACTGTCTTTTAAAGCTCACTGCTTCCGATGACCTACACAGTAAATACACTCTTTTCCATAACAACATGTTGAATCCCTCTCTTCTGTCAGCAAAGTATTTTTAAACTTCTAACCTGATGTTAATCATAGAACAAATCCTCCTGTAATCCACAGCTGCTTCCTCAAAACAGGAGGAATATGATTTTTTAATTCATTTAAGAAAAGATAGGCAAGATATGTCAATTTTGGCCTTGTAACTAGGAACAAATACGTTCAGTAGTGCTTTTTTCCCCTTGCCAGTCTGCTCTGGAGGCTTTGGGAAATCACTGCTGCTTTTGTTTGTCCATTTGGGTAAGAAATTTTGACAATGAAAAAATGCAATTAGCATTCACTTTCTATTAATGATGGAAACTGAGACGGTAAAGCCTACATCTCTGAGTTCTCCAGGCAAATAATACTAATCTTTTCAAGAATCTCTTCTGTCACAACTAGAAATTTACATTATTTAGCCGTAAGTGCAACGTTCCACCATGCACATGCATTCACTGCTATTCGACTGCTTCCACCTAGTTCTTATTTTGCTTCCTGTGTCTGCTCTTCTCAGAAAAATTAGTGACTGAATAGTGAAACTACGTTCAGCGTATTAAAAAAAAATCCCTTCAGACTAGTGCCATCTAAAGGACCCAAATATTTATTGAACTTCAACTTTCAAAATACAAAGTATTGTAATTTCATTGTGCTGGGCAAGCAGAAGTTCAAACAAAATAGCATTTTAAATTGCTCAAACTACATACACCTTCCTTACTCAAAGGGAACGTAAAATATGCCAACTATTTTCAGAGACTGATTTATTACGTATGCAAATGCCCTACCTGCCTGTGTACCTGCTCAGCCATTCACCTTTCTCCCTCCTCCCACTCCCCATGCACAGCACATCTGTTAGCCGAAACGGCTGTTTTAACTAGCGATACCTGTATGGGATCTACCAGGCAGTAGCTAATATTTTTGATTTTAAATGTTTTCAGGTGATTCCAAGATAATGTTCCAAATTAAGAAAGAAAAAAAAAACACCCTGTAAGTCACCTGGCACATGAAATCAGTAGGGCAGAGGCAAAGCATGAAAACCTCATTAACTGTTTATTAGAACGACAAAAGCACGGGGAGCTTCCTGTGCTGGCCTGGCTGCCGCAGCAACTGCAGCCCCAGCTCGGAGAGCAGCGTGGAGCTAGGCTACCCTCAGCCTGGGGGTGCAAGGGCAGGTTCGGTTTGGCCGCACAGGAGAAGGTAGCAAGCTTTGCCAAGATGTAAACCAGTAAAGAATATGGAATTTTTAATCCTGAAAGAAGATACTTTAAAAAATGGAATGCAAAAATAATATTTTAAAATAGCAACTGACTGCCTCTTTATTATTATTTCAGTATCCCATTTAAATCGGACATGAGCCCCAGTGCAAAGGCACCGCAACTAGATTAGAACAGCCAGATTAAAACTAAACGACTGGATGAAAACCCATGCTGCATAATGCCATTTGTGACCAAGTGTATGTTAAACTAAGCTGATTTTCTTCTGTACTGATGTTGCTAAATCCTTCCATGGCACAGAAGAATTACAGGGACAATCACGGAGCCAGAACCCCTGGCGATACAGATCCCCTCCACTAGGTACCACACTTACCTTAGAAGTTTCTGCTTTTGTTTGGTTGACAGTGATTTTAAAAATTCAACTTCTGGATCATCATCTTCGCTTGCAACAAATTCCTAGGAAAACGTGGTAAGACATTAAGTTCTTACATATAAAAATAATCTCTTCATTCAGATTTTTGTATTAAGAGCAATGCCTCTATGCACCTCATTTTTGCACAGGCACAAATATATCTGTATTACTAAGTCAGCTTAAGACTCCTTGGAAAGAGCAGCAAACTCGCTGCAAAGCAACCCCCCCGCCCCGCCACCACTCTGTCTCAAAGCTGAGTAGGTGTTATAATGTGGGGGTTATACAACAGGAGTTATTAGTAACCTCTGAAAAAAAAAAATCAGTAAAAATTTCTGAAACAGTTAATAAAAATGAGCCAATTTTGGAGCCCACATGATTCCCCAGGATAAGTCACTCCATTGTTATCACGCTTGGATGAATAGGTAAGATGCTAGTCCTGCTCGAACCCAGAGTAATTTAAGCAAATTACTTTTCTGTCTCGGTTTAGTCATTAGGAAAATGGGTATTAACACATCTACCTCACTGTTGTGTTATTAGTCTTTAAATGTTCAAAAAGTGTTCTAGCAATGCAAAATACTGTAATCATATAATCTACATACAGTAACGCAATCAGCAGAGCATAGCTGCTTTGAAGACCCTGAATTCTTCCAATTACGTGCATCTGACACACTACAGTTCTCCACCGTGATGGTTTTAATTTTAGCCACGCTCAGGAGCGGAAAGAAGAAATAAAGATTTAAAAGCTCTTCCAAAAAAACCCACCACATCTAACATAAACCAAACACACAGGTATCGCTCCGACTCATTTAACAGTGTCCATACGCTGCGTTTTTCTGGGGTACACAGCCTTTTTAAGTGCAAAGGTGCATCCATCATGCAATGAGATGTTGGTTTACTCAAGATCTCAAGACCAGCCGAGGGCTGCTGTCCCCCCTTTACTAGTGGTTGGACTATCCTGCCATATGAACAAAGGTTATTTCGTGGTGGCTCGCTCAAGGAGCGTGAGTGAATTCTCCACTTATTAAAGCACCTCAATCAGAAATGTGCCTTGTGCAGTCTAAGTAAAGACAATTAAACATTTCCACTCCCAGAAATAACAGATACAACAGTCAATCAAGCAAAACAAAAATCTTCAGACACAGCGTTCCTGGAAGTAATCATTTGTGCCCACTTCCTCAAACTTCATCCGAAGGCTAGCACTGCATCAGAAGAGTGCGGCAAAACCCCCAGCCATCCCCTTCATGAAAAATTCAATTTCTAGTCACCCGGAGGAGGGATTTAATTTATTGTATGTGGTTTTAAAAGAAGCAATTTATGATTCACCATTCTGACTGAAACAAAGCCGGCAACCAGTAAGTTCCTGGACTTTTTTCTGCTAGTACAGCTATTCAGCTTTCCTATGGATATGCATATTTGAAAACATTAAGTAGCAATTCACAAGCAATCACATTTAGATTTATAGACATTTTCAGCTTACTGGTAAAAAGATCATTACCTGTGATGGATCATTTGCGGTCAAGTTTCTCCCCAGTACATTTTGTTTCAGTGCAAACCCACTGTTTCTCATCTCCGCTATTAGCTCCGAGGGGTGCATTGATGGCCCTGTTCACAAAAATCACAGTTTGAATGTATCATTTATATCTCTCTACCTTTTTTGGACTCCACAGTAGGAATTCAGTTGAAGCTTTGTTAAGTAAAATCACAGCTAAATCAACTCAATAATCTTCTGCTGAGCAAATAATCAGATATGATTTTCTAAAACAGCAGTCTGGAGATTCAGAATAGAAAATAATTGCATTTTTCTTTAAGTACAAGGGGATTCTCTTATGTAACTTTGTCAGGTTGAAAACAATCTATTTAGGTAAGTCTAGTAATATATTTTTATTATAGTAAAAAAGCATAGGAAACCTAAAGAAAGCATATTAAGTAAGACTTTTAGGTGCCTCCTCTCCCTTGAAACAATGGAAAAATGAACTTCTAGTATGTTATTAATAGGGCATTTTTCATAATGACACAAATTTTTGAACTTAAATGTAAAAAGTAACCATTATTAGAAACTCAATATACACAGGGAAAATAAATAAATACGTGAAAAAATGGTCTGTGTCCTTACTTATTCGAGGGACCCCCAGATGTGCCAGGTCTCCCAGCTGTCATCAGAGAGATGAAAAACCACTCTATATATGGCATTAGGGTAGGTGTTTGGGATCAGGCATGTGTTAGCTTTCTTTGCAAACATCGACCCAGGAATAAAATGGGGGATGTGTTTTGGATTGTTCAGACTTGACTGCATAATTTATAAACCCTGTAAGTCACTCTTTTGCTTTAACTGAATACCCGTGATCATCAAAACCCTCGTGTACTTGTCTGAGTAGGTACTTCTTCCTCACCCTAAACACACACCTTTTTGTTAGCTCCCCTTCAGCACATTTCCTCTCCGTTCATTCACTACCGCACTGTGAATGAGTTATCACGACTACACAAGGTGAATCTAATCTAGGAGTGCCAAACACAGCATGGGACACACGATTACTACTACTCCACTGAACTAACTGAAAATGATGAGATTAACTAGTCTTACAAAACATACTGATCCTGCTTTGTGGTTTTAAGTTTCCTAGTTGTGGAGGTGGACAAAGCTCGTACTGTTTTAACACAGACAAGTATGGAAAATAAAGGGAGGCTTTTACTATGGAAAACATACGGAAAGTAAAATAGCACTTTTCCAAAAAAAAAAAAGGTTAACTTCAACTTTTTCTTTGCTTTCCTGTAAAACGCACTGCTTACAGAAACAAACAGGCCTGTGTGTAAAGCAGGAAGGAAGAAGACAAAACTTTGGAAATTATTTAAGGAGCCTTTGCATTCCTGACTTCCTCTGACAAGTTCCTTATTTAGCCAGGCAAGAGAATTTTCTACAAAGATACCTTTCAGTCTTTCCTGGAGTTTAGAGTTTTATTAAGCAGGTTATTCCCTACTCCCCTCTGTATTTTACCACCAGCATTTTTTCTTTTTACACGTTACAGTGTGCATGTAAGCTCGCTGAGAGTTAACTAAAGTATATGGGCTTCAGTGTGTACATTTTTGCTTGTTTCAAATTCAAAACCTTGCTCTGCTTGCCCAAATCTATTCTGGCTGGAACAGAAACCAGCATTAGACAGAAACCTAACAACAGAATTCGGTACTAGCAGATGTCTTGATTTGGAAGGGCCAGATAAACCTGCCACACAACTCAGTCAAACACCTGATGTTGGTCAAACACCGTAAGTATGAGAACGCTGGATGGAGACAAAGTGTAAAGTCATGAAAGAAGGTTTCGCCGTATCAAAGAAACCGAATCCTGTGACCACACTGAAGCCTGGAATCCCCTCGTTATTCAAAGGCAGTATGGACCGCTGCCAAACGAAGTAACCTGACTGACTTACCAGCTATTCCCCCTGCCATGTCTCACCCCTGTACAAATTTTGATGTGTACCGGATACCCAATTATTCTCATTACCGCGATCAGATAAACAGAGGAACGCAACCTGTCCAACTCTACAGAGGAGATTTGTAAAAGAACTAAGACAGAAGCCCTAACTTCATGGCTCCACACAAGGACTACAGGCAGGATTGAGACCAGAGGCATGAAGGCACGTGGCCCTTCAAAAGCAGAGTTCAGAATTATTTTCTAGAAAGAAACCTTTCAGGCGTGCTTTGTGCATAGCCCTGGCCAGAAGTAAGCAGAATAAGATTTTTATGTAAAAGAGAAAATTATAATGAACGCACACCACTACTGATCTTTGTGCACTTGTGCCCAGCGGATGCCAGTTGTGCTGTAATGCACCGATCAAGATAGGCAAACGGGGGAGCTGTCAGGGTGGCTGCTCAAGCTGGGATCCGACACAAACCACACACACGCTTTTGAGTTAGCCTCCACATGCCTGGTAAAGGTGAAATCAGCACTGGGCTTGAAAAACAAACACGCGGGTAAGCTGAGAAGGAAAGCAAGCTAGGCTAAGAAGAAATTCACAGGAGTTCTGTTCCCTGGTTCATTAATGACACTGCTCCACCTACAAGTCTGTAGTTGCAGCGTGGTATTACCATGCCAAGGACACTTAACAGATCACTGATACTCCTGCTTTGGGGATGTCCACAGGTTACATCAAATGCACCTACATAACCTGGAGACTGTTTATGAAAAGACATTATTCCTGTTCTAGTCCCTCTTCAGTGGCGAGGGACACAGTAATTTAGGTTCAGCCTAGCTTTTGCAGGGATGCAAGACTCTCCACAAAGCTTTATGTCGTACATTATTTTCACTGTAACTAAAGGTTTTAGAAAACACTAGGAACTGAGATTCAGAAAAAAAACCAGCCCCATGAATGAAAGCAGAGTCAAAACACAGCCCAGTTTCTCAGCTCTCCTGTGCAGCCCCCAGCCTGGCACAACACAAGCACACTGCCCACTGCAGCCCGTCAGGGAGGGCTCTCTAGCAGCAACTGACTTTTGAAAAGGCAGTTTACAAGGCAGTTTGAGGACAACACAGGTGAACCTGTTTGCTCTTTTTTTTCCCCTAACAGCTGATACCACTGAACTTCTGAGAAGTTCTACTGCCCAATGACAGCAAGACTGCATCGCTGCCTTTGTTCAGGTAGCAATGCCAGACCGCAGCAGGGAGAAAACAGTATCTCATCTCGGAAGTCTAAAGACATGTGTTTTTTTTTTTAATCTGGTTACAAGTCCAGGCTGAGAAGTTCAATTAAGACGTTGTATGTGACAACACTGCACAGCTGAATAGCAAACCTCTAAGAACATTTTTATTCTCATAATGAAACTCCTTTGCTTGGAATCAGAGGCTTGGTGACTTTATTTTCCCATCCATGCCTCAACAGACTGCTTCTCATTTATGCTTTAATTGTTCTGATAAGCAGATCTGATTTTCTTTGAAATATCAGTGACAGTTTGAGGTCTCCCAAGATTCCCAGGCACAGATAATTTATGTGACAGCACTGGGGGCTGTAACACACGTTCTGGGGTGCTTCTTCACACATTCTTAGAAGACGTAGGTGCCTAAATAAGTGAGCAAACAATTGCATTCCCCTTTCCACACTACAAAATTAAGTAGGGAATTTTGTCCTGGCCAATACGAACCAGGGAGGCAAAAACTGTAAAAGAAATCCCAAACACTGAACCTCACTTAAGAGATGTTTGGAAAACTCAACTTCTCAGATGTGTCCTTGGCTTCCTTACTTAGGATCGAAAGCTTCAATCTTGGATCCACTATATACTGGCTGGCAGAGGGCTCTTCCTTTGTTTGGTGTGAACCGATTGTGGAGTCCTGCTTGTTGGAAACGTGACTAGGATCAAAAAACTCTGTGTGATTAAACTTGGTTTGCCTGGTAAGCCCAAGAGGTAAATCTTTTCCACCTGTCTTTGGTTTATGACTACACTTATGTCATCACCCTTTGAGTTCTTCAGACAAAACAGTACTAACTATACCAGAGAGCCATATATCTTCATCTGGTTAAGTTCCAGTTAAATCATAAAATGTAAAACAGGTGGTGAGATTGAGCTGAGAGGCTCTCAGTTGGCTAAAATCTTGGGAAGTGATGTTAGCCAAGTACAGCACCCATCAACTTGCAAAAAAACCCCCAACAAAACCAAAAAAAACCACTCCTACATCAGGCATAGAAAAACACTTCGTGTTCTGTCAAAACCGACGTCCTCCCATGTGCATTCCTTACGGACCTGTGAGACAGCCTGTGAAGAAGGTACCTGTGTGACCTCATGCAGGTGAAAACATCTAGAGGTGACACTGTGCCATGAGTTGACAGAACGTCAGATGTAGGAATCCTGTAAAAATAGCTGATTGCTACGACTTCTAACAACTAGTCTCTCAGCATTCATCCATCAGCAAACTAAAAATAAAGTTCCAAGTTACGATGTTTCATCATCTATTTCTTATTCTTTCTGAAACAACTCAAATACAGTACCTTGCTATTTTTTAATGTGACTGTCAAGTGCTTTTTTTTGCCCCTTTTTTTTTTTTTTTTTACATTTTGATAGGGAAAAAAAGGCCTGTAAAACTTTGAGATGACACTTGTTTTAAACTAAAATTTTTATCTGCCTTAAAGTTAATTCATAGTCTCAGAAAAGCTTTTTATCATATAGTGGAATTAATTGCATGCTGATATCATACTTATTTTTGTGCATTAAGACAACTGACAACTTGTTAAGTTTTGTGCAGCTACAGGTACCTAAAATTATATTCATGGCTTGCACAAAAGAGGCTCCATAGTTAAAGACCCACTGAAGGAATTTTAAGATGTTTTTTCATGGTCTTTACAGTTCCCAAGAAGTAGTGTTGTCAAGCAAATAGACTACAGTTTCTTCTTGCCTCTTACTTCCCACAGAGGTTCTTGCTGCATTAATTCTCGCTGTTATCTTCTGTTTAAAGAAGAATTTAAGGAAAGAATCCAGATCCCTCAGTTGACTCAAAGAGCTGGAGCACAAAATCTGGAAACTCCAACCATTCAGTGAAGTCTGAGAAGAAGGATTTTAGTCTTCAAGTATAACCCGCGTGCAACCTTAACTTGACAGATGTCATTGCATGTTGACAATATTAAATATAATTAAATAGAAGAGCTGTAAGTAGAATTTTTCTGAAGCCTATATGAGCATCAATTATACTGGATTGCAGAAGGACATCACACTAGGATTTCTACAACATATTGCCAATTTGCTTTTTTATAACACAGAGCACTCCGATTTCTTATCACACTTAACTAAGATCAATTTAACAGAATCAATTCTGCTTCTATTAAACAACCGGGGGGGGGGAAATATAATTCTGGATTTCAATTACTTCAATGCCCAGCTTACAGCAAGCTCTTCCACCCCACATTACTACCCTCACTCCCAGACCAGAAACAGGAGAAACCTCCAGCTGCAATTCATTCTGGATTCTGCCTTACGCCGCTCCTGAAGCCCCAGATGCAGAGTGTACGTAACAACAGAGCTGCTGCCAGAGC